AATAATATCAGATTCTTCTCTTCACATGCACATATTTCCTTTTGCCTTGTGAGAGTCAAAGCTCTTAGCAACAAGAGCACTGTAGAACAGGGTACTGACTAGAATTTGATGATGTCAGAACAACAGAAAATGAAAGAAGATGTACTTTGTAATGGCATACAATTGAAAAGCATGAAATTGGTGCCAAGCAATGCTAAAACCAAATGAATTATTTCCCAACAATTCAACAAGCAAAGGGTCAGAAAGCAATGCATTTTTAATGTTCAGACTGTCAATTAAAATCAACATAATTCAAGTAGAGAACAAAACAATGCTTTTTGACACTAGGTATTTTGTTTTACGTGATAGCATCAGATTTTCAGGAGCAGCACATCAGGTAAAAAGACAAGAGCGCATGCTTGGGATAGTATCACTCATTTGTATGCTAAAGATAGTTTCTAAGGCTCGCTTAGATCAGTCTAAACTTTGGCACATGCCATAGCAGCTGCACAACATTTAACTATGCCTCTTTCAGTATGCACCACAGTGTGGAAAGAATGGTTTATTAAGATAGTGTCAGATATATTAGCCTGAAAAGGTTAAATAATTTCTTCAGATGATATAATTTCCTCTGAATGACTGACAATTTTTTAAATTTTGCAAACATTTTTCTATTATTTTTAGTGATTTTTCCATCCTCTGTTGATCTGTGAAAGCCTTGAGGAAACAAGGAAGGAAAATTACTTGGCAGCACAAGGAAACAATAAAACAGGGGTGCACACTCACATTATGTATGTCTAAATGCTGTTGAAATCCACAGAAGAACCCCTGAATAAGAAAACAAAGAATGTTTTTTTCACATAGTTCTCAAATACAGTACTCAATAATACTTGTATTAATTATATTTTTCAGATAACTATTTTAAAATTGATACTGCTTAAATATTAAACCTTTTGCAGATATTAAACCTTAGTGTAGAAATTAAAGTGGTGTAATATATTGTTTTAAAAGGAAATAACTATGTCCTAATTTTGTCAGTTTAGGAGCCCCAGAATGTACTATTCATTTTTCTTTTATTGCTAATAATGTCTTCTAGCAAAGACCCTGCTTTTACTCCTTTTGGCTCTGATTACAATTTCATTTATGCTACTCTAAGCAGGATTAATGCAAGATCCATTAATGGATCAGACTGTTAGCTACCTGGTTGTGCTTTGGTGGCACAAAAAGAAGGACAAGAAAGTACCTTAAAATCTAATTAGAGATTTCTCTTTCACATGGGAATATCTCCTCAGGGACACTGTAACTACCACAGTTCATTCTGTTCATAGTTAACATCTCCTCTCCCTTTTTTCCCCCCTCAGGGTGTACAAAGTACCTGCTATCACAGCCAAAACCAGTACAAGCTGAAAGCACCCTGGGCTTTAGTGATCTTGTGCTCATGAACTGTTGTGAGCCTTCTGGAAAAGCCTGCTAGCAGACTTTTTGCATCTGTACAGCAACCACCACAATGAATACTTGTGCGTGATATTTTTTTATTGGACAGCATGAACTATAATTTCCCCAAAATAATTACTACAGGCACAAGTCAGAACAACCAATTGTTATGTCTGTGGCAGCAGGTGTCAGCCTTCCCTCTTCATAATGTTTCCCAAGAGGGAATGTTCTTTGCACCCCTGAAGAGGGCACTATGAGAAGCAATTTGTCCCCACAGCTGGGGTTTTAGCAAGTCCTGAAGATCTCAGCACACAAAACTATATATGCTTTACAGGCACTGCTATGATTATAGAGTTATGTAGATGAACAGAAGTTAACTGTAAATTACCTATACCAGGCAGAAGAAGCAGTCTAGCCATCATGAAATGCAGCACAGGTTAATCACACAGGCATTTATTTACCTGCTTCACTGCCTGGGCTGAACTTCTTACTGCACTGAGCAAAACAGGCTCATGTAAAGCTAGGTCAGCCATACATTACAGTCTCTACCTATAGGCTTTCCATGCAGACACATTCATTACTACAGTAAGAAAAGTGTTGACATCACCTAGTATGACACTGCATGTAACAGCAGCCATGAGGTTTCTCTGAAATAATTCGTGTGGAATCTGAAAAATTATTTGAAAAATCTAAGTCTTACTTGAGCCCCTGGAAACCCTGGTGCTCCTGGAGAACCTGGAGAACCTTTTGGACCCGTTGCTCCTTCTCTACCTGCAAGAGAAATAGTGTATTTTGTAAAGAAAAATGAAGACAAGGACATGGATTTTGACAAGCTCCAGTAATCACACGCAACACTGACTGTTTTTGCTTGTTACACCGACTGCATCACCATAGACTGACCTGGCTTCAGGCCGCACCTAAGCCTATTAGCATTCTGACTGCACCTCTTTTAGGGCTTGTGCTCACATCAGTGGATGGAGCTGCATCAGGCTCTCACCCTCATCACGACCTCAGGGCTAGTTCAAGGCCTGCATCCTGCAGACATGCCCATACCTGATACTCATATTAAAAGCATAATCATTGGCATTTCCTACTATACTGTTAGAAACAACAAGATAATTTACCGGGCATGCCGTCCTGGCCACGTGGTCCAGGAGAACCAGGAAGACCAGGTATTCCCGGAATATAGCTGCAGTCAGTACACACGTAAGCTTCATCACCTAGAATAAAAATAATCATTAGTTGTTTTACAGAAAGTCATTCCCAAGCTTAACTAATGTGTTACATAGTTTGCTATAGAGGATGGCTAACACTTTTTGGCCAGAGAGTGGCAGAATCATGGCCTTAATATTGTTGGAAGATCACTTCCAACACAGTACAAAATTACCTGTGGTCAGACAGTGAATCAGAACTGATTACATTTAACTGAAAACGCAGAAACACTTGATTTCAATATTTTTTTTGTCAAGTCTAGTTTTAGTAAACCATTTGGATACAGTGACTCTACTGATAAGTCAAATTCAAAAGAAGAAAGGGACATAGGCTTCAGACTAACATGGCTCTGTAAAAGCCTGGGTGACTTTAATGACTAGCATGTGGCAAAGAGATTCAGCAGCTGCTGTGGTGAAATTTACAGAAGGAACCCTCTCTCAGAACAACTGTAAGCGTTGAACATACACATTCAGAGAATATGAAAACCCTACCCACCTGTAATAATTATTCCAGTGAGGATCTACACTCTGCTGCAGCGCTGGCACATGCACTGCTCTTTCAGCTGATGTTTACTGCAAGGGGATGAAGGCATCTTGCTACCCCTAATGATTTTTCTTAAATCTCTGAACTCATCAAATGGCTTAAGAAGTAAATTAAGTTCAAAATTTCACAAGGACCCATGAAGATTACTGGATTGTATCATCTATTTCTGAGCAACAGTTTTCTGAAACTGACCTTTCACACCAGTATCTCCTGGAGTTCCTGGAGGTCCTGTACGCCCTGGCTCTCCAGGAAGTCCTGGTAGGCCTCTTCTAAATGTTACTTCACCTGTTAATGAAATGAGCATGGCATCATTACATCAGCAGATTATTCAGAAAATTCTCTAGTTGCTAAAAGAGAAAAAAGTTGCAGGGATAAGCTGGAGACAGTATTCTCATCCTTACTGGTCAAGTTGGTCCCCTCCAACTTGAAATATTCTAGGATTCTTTTAGAAGAGAGAACTACCTGGACAAATTCAAACCACCTGTAACTGGAAGTACTTGAGGATAAATATGGTAATGCCAAAATAAATATCAGTAGACAGATAGATCCATCTATCTAGGCTTTAAAAAGCATAGTCCCTTCTGGGGAAAGTATTTCCATTTTATTTGAATCAACAGGAACATATTTTTTTTTTTTAACCACAAATGGGAGGGAAACCTTTATTTTAATCCTAAATTATTAATGCTGTTCATGTACCTTTGACAGAATTATTCTGCTGTATTTACAATTTCTTTGGAAAAACTGAACACACATCGAACTATTCGTAAGGTAATGTATTTGGGGGATAGAAATATTTTTCAAAGGCAGAGAAAAGAGAACCACTACGTTCGTACTGGTTCAGAAAAACCATACCAATTATAAAAGAAACATCATGCTGTTGGTACTACTAGTTAAAGAGGTATTCCTAGTTAATACATTTTCTGGAAGTTTTACAAACTGCTGCCTCTTTATTTCCATGCTGCCAGATCTTCAGATCTACTCTAAGGCCCTGTGAGACCTCTGGAGGCATGCAAGTGATTTTCCAAGCTTTCAGATTAGCCCCTTCTGAATTTAGTTTCACAGATTTACTACAACCTCTAGAAGAATTAATTTTAAAAACAGATTTTCTCTCATTAGTCCTTCCTGGTTTTATGTTGCAGAATTTTATAGTCTGTTCTAGAAAAAGGTGAGAAAACTTTATATTGGGAAGTCATTGTTTCTTCCCCACAGGATTTCATTAGCAATGGATCACATACTGTCACTACGTATGTGTTGCCATGAATATCCTAAAACAAGATTTAAAAAAAATAATTATATTCTACCATATTAATCAAATCTCTAAATAATGTATTTATATAATCTTGTACATTAGATATTGACATGACTCTGGATTTGTTCTTGCTCATTATATATACAATACTGAAATTTCACCTGGTTCCCCTGGAGGACCTGGTAATCCAACAGAACCAGGTCTGCCAGTAATACCAGGTAGTCCTGGAGGGCCTACAGTACACAAGCCAGTTTGTCCTTTCTCTCCTTTTGCTCCTTTTGGCCCAGGAAATCCTGGGGGACCTCTCAAACCAGGTCTTGACACACCTAACCAAAGAGGAAAAAATACAAAAATGAAGTTAAATTAAAAATAGAATTTCAAAGCAAACTAAGTACTCAATAGGATGAGTGAGAGACAAACATACTGAGTTAATCTCAGAAATCTTTTTTATCTTGTAATATATTAAACAAACACAATGAGAATGTAGACATTTTAAGATTATCTTTAACCTCTCTTTAAATACTTGGACCATCAAAGCTTTTGGGTGTCAATTTTTCAGCACTCAGAGGTACTTTTAACATCATCTGAAGCTAAGATTCCACAAAGCTGATTCAATATAATGGGCAGGAAGAATCATGTATTCTACCGTTTGTACTTGATCATTACATGTACCTGGTCTACCAGCATCTCCGGGACGACCCTGTGGCCCTGCAAAAGCAATGTATTTAGAACTTGAGTTAAACAACTGTATACTGTGCAAAGTCACTACTCGATAATACTGACTGCAAACTTTGGGCTTCTGCATTTTAGGCTTACTTTATCTTTTAAGAAGTTGGTTTTGCCTGAGTAGGCATCTACTGCTTATGCTGATGTTGCATACTGACAATTCTCACTGAAATCTGACAAAATATGGATGTTTACAACAGGTAGGAATAAGATCCACCACGTTTATCTTAGGTGGGGATGCAGACAATTACTTGTGATCAACTTACAGGCCTCCAAACTTGCTTCTTTTTGCCACTATTATTTGCTCTAGTAAAGATACCATCTTTTAACAATGCATTAGTATCTTTGCAAGGCTCAACTTCCCTGTTGCCATCCCTTGCAAGTATGTAAGTGAATTTGTAACAACAAAGAGTATTCACTGAATGCAAGAGTATTCACTTGGATACAAAAATACTCATAAAAATAGAACATCAAAACAGAAGGCAAGGACTTGCTGGATGTGTATGAGATGCTGTCTACAAGATGATGCCTCAGAGTTCAGCCCCCAAGTCCTTGTTACAGCTGTAATACAGCTCAAATAATAAATCAGTACATTTTCATTCTATAGCATAGCCAATCCAAAGTAAAAACTTGCAGATCATCACTATTTTGGAATGATAGACAATAAAAATGGTGTAAGACAAACTATGAAAGCTAAAAAAAAAAGTGCATGACCTTTAACAGGAGACTTTCAGCCCTGATGGTTTGTCTATGGCATATACAAATAATGTGCTGATTCAGTAATCCACTAAGGTCATGACACAGGATGTCAGTGAGCTTAGGTGCTCAACACAATTATCTGCACAAAGAAGTGTGCTGGCTCCATTATTTTTAAGAGGAAATAAAGCCATAAATGAAAGTCTCAGGATACTTTTCAATTCGGTAATTTGATGGGAGTAATTTGGAAATATTCTTGAAAAGGCAGAGGCAGGTTGCTGGGTGCTCAAAAACCTAGCCTAAAACAAGCTATCTGAGTAGACAGCTCTTGCTAAAAGATTCTAGTTTCAACATCCCACTCACCAGGCATGCCACGTTGGCCTTTTGGTCCTGGAGGTCCAGGGGGTCCTTCATCTCCTTTTTCACCAATCCCATTATCATAATACTCCGTCTTAAGAGAGAGATAGTAAGAAAAGGAAGAACAGTAAGAATGAAGAAAGAAACACAGTATCTCACATTGAACATTTGGTTAGAACAATGTTATGATCTCATTCATAATTTTGATGGTGTAACATCATGAGACCTTTTCTAATCACATGGCAACCACAAACAGCCAGGAATGAATACATAATTGTTATACACAGATAATTCCAAGAGACCTGTACAAATAGATGGGGCTGGGATTTCAGCTCAATTCCTCAACTCCCAGAGAACTCCTCTGCCTGCAGATGCAACTATACAGACAAGGTATAAGTTGGAGACCCAATCATGAATATTATGGCAACATGAAATAGAAAATATTCTTGAAAGAAATCTCTAGGAATCACTTAGTCTATTCCATTGGCTCAAAGCGGCATCAGCTATATCTACTCTTAAATAATCATATATGAAACTAGACAAGAATCAACTACTTAAATAACATGTGCACTAAAAAGTAATTCCTACAAAAAACAATTCTTAATTTATGGCAGGAAAAATCAAAAGTCAAGTTGCTGTAACTCTGTTTTGTTATAACTAAGTATTTTTTCCCTTTCTGGATTTTTTTGCTTGGGCACCATTACTAGCAAATAAACATCACACTGAAACTTAAACTGACCCCTAACGCACCAATTTTAAAAGGAATAAAAAACTGCTTAAAATTACAAACCAAAATTTTTACTTTTCTCCTATAGATTTTTTTGAAGAGCAATGCTTTTTTAGTACTCTGTCAATATCACAAATGATTCAGCTTTTTACAAAGTTATTTCTTCCGAACAATTTGGGCAGAAGGTTTCCATTAGGTGTGCACGGCCTTTAAGAAAGCCACTAGCGAGACAGCACAACTAGACAGAGAAGGTGTACTCATAGCATCTCTTGCTTTCTTTAAAAAGTCTTAGGGTTTTAAAATTAATACCACCTGTTCTGGAACTTATTAGACACTGGCTTAAAAATTAATTCCTGTGAATTTCTGTACAGTTCAAGCTCCTGCCAAAATTGCTGGAACTGAGTGAGGTCTAACCAGGCCCTCACTGCATCCAGCTCCACATGAAGGGAGATGCCATCTCTGTGAGCCTCCCAGCAACATCAGTACTTTGAGAAAGCCATGCCTCAAATAGAGCATCATGGGACATGTATTATTGTCTCATACAGTCAGTTTGGCTTATTCTAATGGTTTAAAAAAACAGTATGATGAAGGTAATTTACACTTACTTGACCACAAGCTCCAGGTGGACCAGTGTTTCCTTTCATGCCCTTCATCAGAGAACAGAGATGGGTTTGTTTATTTAAAACAATACATGACATTTGGTACTCACTGTTACTTCAGTACATTGCACATAATGTTAAAGAACTTCTGCTCCTTATCAGTTCTTCCCTACCCTTATCTCTGTTCCTCACACAACTGTTCAACCACATACACCAAAAACTACAGGAACACATTAGCAGGCATCAATGGACACCAGTTCAAACACATGTTCTATTTCAGCTAATCCATTCTTTACTGCACGATATAATTACTTGTCATCTGTGAGGAAAAGTAAAATATACAGTATACACAGTGATAAATAAAACTACATAACAACCCCAAAACATACCTTATCCTCAAAAGCACCAGCAAAACCATTAGACAATACCTTATCTCCTTGCCTGCCAGCCACTCCTGGTTTGCCCTGTTCACCCTTTTGTCCCTGTAGGAGACAGCACACAATTTTATGAGGATTAATCTTTTAGCTTTAGCACTGTCATCAATAAGATCTAACATGGAAAGCCTTAATCTTTCATACTTATGGCAAGGTGAATGTGTCTTGCTCAGGGAAAGAAATCTCAGGGAAAGACTCAACTTGGAGAACAGTTCTGTGTCTGTGGGAGATACTGCAGGTCTCTCATCCAAACCTGCCTTTGTAATGGCACACTCCACCAATCCCAAGGTGGAAGCTGATCAGGACAGCACAAGTGTAGGAGACTGGTTTGTTCCCCCCCTGCAAACTACTCAGCAAATCTCTCTCCAAGAACTTGGTCGGTCTGCATGATGGTGTTGATCTCAAGAGGTGTCAGCAAAACCAGGAGGGAAAATAGCACAGACTGCTGCTAAGGCTTTCTGCAAGTGTGTATATGCAAGGAAAACAGACTTCGCAGAGGCTTGTGCAGTTGAATGCACTGCTAGCTAGTAAAGTTGAAATGGGAACAGAGCAATGACATGTCTTTGTCATGACAGAAAGTTTTTTTACTGTTAGATGAGGTAGTAGAGCTTTACGGTCTGTCATTCCACATATTTTGTCAGACTGGAATGTGTTTAGACTGTCTGCAAAGGTCATTTTGGCATAATGAAGATGATGTTTTAGTAAGATATATGTGAAATGGGGTATTTTGACAAAAAGAATTTTGATAAGGTATTTGTGAGGTCACTGTGACCCCAATGATGTTGTTAAATTGGAAGCAAAGTAAATATAAAAAAATATTTAACCAATTGAATACATTTGAACAAATTTATCTTTTAAATTAGTACAGAAACAAGATCATTTTGGTTCTAAAATGGCGTGTTTTAAGAATTGTATGATGACGACAGTTTTAATATCTATCAGTCATCTTATTTCACGCCAAGGCAGCTCTGCCCTTGACAACTTTTCTTTGTAAAAAAAAAAAAAAAAGCCTTTGATTCTAGTGATTAAAAATTATTAATTTTGCTTCCTGATTTATGCTGAAGTGAAGGTATAACTCTTTTTCAAAAATGTCCACATGACTAACCAGAATTAAACTCAATAGAATTAATTGTGCATAATTTGGACTGTATCTCAAACTCATTACATAGTCCGCAGCAAGCAACAGGCCTTTTTATTTTCCACAGAAGAGACAACATTTATGAAATGAGCCTCTCTCTCCTGCATAAATCTATGAGGACATGGTTTGCCTCGAGGCCAGCTTTGTGAAAGGAAATGTTTCACATGTATGCAAATCAACATTTTCAAACATATTCTGCAACAAGAAAAAGCTGTGACAGGAAGATATGACCGTGATAAACAGATGAGTATTACTTGGAAAACATTTAGAAGGCTTCTTTCATTACCGGTAAGCCAGGTGGACCTGGGGCACCTTCTTTTCCAGGTTTACCCTACAAAGGAAAAACATAAAATAAAATAAAGTAAATTTAATAAGCTCAGAAGAGAGGTTGTTTTATCCAAAGAGCATAACAACTAAATGTTGTGCATGTAACTGTATTTTACGTCTCTGTAAATTTTGAAAAGATACTAAGCTTATATTTAAAATGTTCATTATTTCTAATCATTATAAATGTTCATAAAACTATAAAACAGAGTAAGATATTCCCTGGACATTCCTCCTTCTATGGAGAATTAGTTGAGGCAGACACTTCACCAGCACGAAGTGTCAGGCAAGTGCAGAAAGCTTGGTGCAAAATCAGGTCCTTGCAGAAGCAAGACAAATGATAAAACAATATAGCAGCTAGCAGTCCTTCTGGTGGTGAACACGGAAAGATACTGAAGCAAAACTTACAGGAAACAGGGTTAAGAGATGACTTGGAAGAGAAACTATTTAATAAAAAAGAATAGGGATTGCACTTCAAAGGTATTGGAAGTAGGGCAGTAGATGGATTTTTTTACTAAGTTTCAATAGTAGAACCTTACAGCACAACAAATAGAAGGGCATCTACCATCATCTGATCTTTCCTTCATGTATGTGAACTCATGTATGTGAGCCTGTACAGCCACTTGACTTTCAGCTGTCCAGTCTGGTTTACTGGATGAAAGAGCTTTTGAATCTAAAAAAATTTGCTCTGAGTGGCATTGAAACAAAAAATGGAGAGCCATACTAGTGCAAAACTGCTTTTCAGAAAAGACTAATATATGTGTATTCAACTGTTTGCACATACCTGTGCTCCAGGTTCTCCTCTGTCACCCTTTTCACTTTGAGAATCACCAACTGGCCCCTGTAACAAAATCACCCTCAAGATACACATTTTTTAAGACTGACATTTTCTAAATTAAATATATCTTTTATATAATTTTTTTCTCTTCAAAAAGAAGTAAAAAAATAAAGTACATTTAGAATGCTAATAACAGGTGTCATTCACTACTTCTACTCATTAAAGGTCAGAATAAGTAGTGTAAATACTGGACTCCAAAGAGAAGCATTTACTATGTGATGCTGTTGGATGTAAGCAATTTACTTCTGTTCACTTACTGTAAACCCCCTTGGTCCTGGAAGCCCTCTTGATCCTTTTTCTCCTTTGTCTCCTTTCAAGTCCTATTACACAGGAAATAAAAATTTAATATGTCTCTTGGATTTTTCTGTGCTTACCGTAACACTCAAGGAGAACACCAATAGGAAATGCAAGCTTGTTTAAGCAGAGATAGTTCTACTTAAATGACTAAGAAACAGACTCCATATCAGCACTCCTGCCTAGGTCTATCATGTTTGAAAAAGAAACTGACTCTGCACATATTTCTGAACACAGTGAGTTCAAAACAACATATCTGTGGTTGCATACAAGGGGACTGGAGTAAATATCCCCAGAAATGGCAGCAAATTGCAAGTGAAAAGCAAATAAACCTTAGATGCTTCACTGAAGCTACAGTTACCTCCAATAGGTAAATGCAGTGGCTACCCACACAATCCTTGCCTCTGTGGGCTCAAGATTAGATTGATTACCCTACTGTGTAATGCAGTTATGTATTGGGCCACATCCTAAGGTCACTGTAAAGCCAAAGTTTATAGACTGCCTAATTACCTGGTTAGACCATGCCCCAAACCATTTATGTAAGGAGTTTTGAGGGGTTTTTAAAAACTACCACTCCCCCATGATAAACTGCCACAGCTGTGAGTGGGAAGTGCTCCAGGTGGTCCATATTTGATTTAAACGGGGAATTGCTACTGTGCCTAGAAGCTGAACATTGCTTCTGCAATCCTTCTATTCCCTCCTCAATACAGTCTTGATGCAACATTCACTTTTCAGTTTAACACATAATAGAGAGGGAGTTTTGATAAATCCACGGATTAAATACAAAGGAAATAAGGAAAAGAGAATCAAGAACAGGTTGAAGGCTTGTTCTGTTAATAGGTGAACACTTAAAACTGTGTATCAACTACTGCTGTTTAAGTTCTAGATAAGAACAAAATACAAAAATTTTAATTCACAAAGCAATACTTAAAATGAAGGCTCAATCAGAGCATTTCCTTTCTCCAATACTCATTGTTTTTTCACTTTTCATGATTACTCATGTTCCAGTAAAACCAATGAGAAAATAAACCCTGAAATGTACATGAACATGTTGCAAGCTTTTGTGAAACTCTGGTAGCTCAGAGTCCTATTTTCAGTGACAAGGCCCAGAGGTCAACACAGCTGTGGCTTTCATAGCCATTCAGAAAATTCATGTTAATTTGGTGAAGCTAAAAGTGATTTACTTTTCGTGTACTCAGAGATCCACAGCAGGTGGGTTACTAATAAGCATTTAGCATTCCACTGGCATTGTGTAGATGTGCATGTGAATACACAGGCCTCGGCTGAACTGACTGTACAGACACACTCTAAGAAGAGCTTTGTATCTAACTAAACAAGTCTGAAAATGTTAGGATGAGTAAAAGGAGATGTTATCTGAACAGTGAAGACAAAAATGTCCTCTCAAAGTTAAACCTAGTAAGATGGCTTATCTGAACATGATGTTTTAACAGTTTTACTACCGTCATGTTATCTGGTCCACTTAATGTCACAATAACAGTTCCTGGTGGTCCAGGGGGTCCAGTTAACCCAGTGTCACCCTTGGAAGGAAAAAAGAAAAATAGAGCAATTACAAGCGGTGTGTTTTTATTGTCTCAAATTACTATCTCTATACCTTTGACATTGTGAAAATTTTTCTGTCATTACGCTCAGCCATTAATACAGTTAACATTTTTCTTTGCTTACTATTCATCTTCCAATAAAAAAGGCATATGGAAGACTTAAGATGACTATGGTAACCTTCCAGCTGAGAAATATAAAAATGCATATGCTGATTTCTCTTAAAGTATCTAGAATTAGCTTAAGTTTGTAATACTATTTGTCTAAAAGTTATACAACCATTTTAAACCTAAATCAGATATCTCCTTGATTAAAATTTTTCTCTCAATTTAAGTCAATCAATAAAATACATGAACTGTCTTTGTTGACATCATCAAAACTGCAGTGTGTGTATTACAGGGAGATGTGCTGACAGATAGAATTAGCTCTCGTGCCCTTAACTAAAACCAATATTACAGTATACTTTTTCATTAAGGATCTTCCAGAACAGGGGAAGTCCTAAAGGTGATCTTTCCTGTGGAGCTCAACAAAATAACATCCATAACTTCCAATGATTTTAAACCAGTGGAATGCCTTTGCATGCACTTGCAGTGTTAACAGCAAAGAATGCATCACTCTTTCCTAAGGAAGCAAGATATGCTCCATGGTCACCTGAGCTAATAAATAATCAATTCTATTTACAGAAATTTTCCCAGGAAAGTTCTAGCACATTTCTGGTAGTAATTACAAAGTTAAAACCAGTCCCACTGTCAAACAGTGCTTTTTCAGTTCACAGCTGAATCTGTGCAGGTCAGTTAGCATATCTGTGAGATGCCCCAAGTTCTTGAAAGGATCCTGTTCAGGCTGACTAAACTGGTTCTCCAACTGCAGGTTGAGGTCCTGAGAGGCAATATATGTATTTGTAGTCATTTCTAGCTTGATGTCAGTTATATGGTATACAAATTAAGAACACAGATGACAAGTCATCCAATTTTTGTCCAAAATCTGGGAGGTCTTCTAGCATCATAAAGCCTGACACTGAAAGGATGTTGGCCATAAGAAGTTGGGAGTCTACAGAGGCCATATATTTACCAGTGTGTACATGCTGAGATAAGCATTTAGGAATACTGTGCAAATGATATATAAATTAATTTAATGCTATGTGTTAATAAATATTAACTATTGGCTCCTCTTAGGTTTCTACCCTTCTATCAGGAAGTTTATCTCATCAGCTTGTATGTGAAAACAGTTTGTCCTTAGATATTAATTGCTGTGTTTCTGTTTTCCAATAAAAGACTTCCACATATATACTGAAAATTTTTATTTCAGAGTACTTACTTCCACAAACATTTCACCATAATATATCAGAAAAAGCACAAGAGAAACAAAACTTTTAAAAAGTTTTAAGCATTTTATACAATTACCTTCCTTCCTTTAGTTCCTATTACTTTCAGTCCCATAAGACCCTGTAAAAAAAATCCCCAAGTGTTATTTTTTTTAATTTTAAAAACACCTATAAAATGAGTTAATTGATGCTACACATAATAGGAAGTTTTCATTTTTATTACCAATCTGAGACTACCTTAGGTCCAGGAGGTCCTGCTTTCCCTGGCATGCCCTACAAAAAAAGAAAAAAAAATTCCTTAAAAAATTACAATCTTTAGCACCAATAAAAGTGTTTTGAAGTATCAAATTTTCACGAGTTATATCACTATCTTTATTCTTTCTTCCACCTTTACAACTGCAATTTGTGAGTGGGCAACAGAATGTCTATACAGTCTAGTTGCAAACATATACATCTCTCTTACAATTATACACATTACTATTTAAAGTGAATTTATGAGTATTTATTTGAAAATTAAACTTATGCCTACATGGACAAGTATGTTTCTGAAAACATGGATATTATCATGCATAAAAATAATCAAAAGAAACTGGAAAAAAAATCAGATGTGTATAGAAGGATATGGATTTCACATACATGTCTCTAGACCTCAAACAAGTCTGGGAGAGTCAGGTACTTGCATTTGTGTGATTCCACAGGTTTCTAGGAAAATCAAAGGTTAAACTAACAAGTGAGACATAAGTTCATACTCACTGAAGCTCCTGGAGGGCCTTGTGGTCCACGTTCCCCAGGATAACCTTGAGCACCCTGGGCACCCTGCATATTAAAAAAGAAACAGGAATACATCTCCTGGCAAGGTTGTGAGCAAACCACAACACTAAATTCAATGAACTGAATAAGAAACAGAGGAGCAGCACCGCCTCTGGATTTCCTTTTCATGTCTCAGGATAACACAGAAGCATGATTCCTCCTCACTGCTTCACTGTTCGGCATATGTTTTGAAACATGAGAAAACATATCTGTCCTAAAACTAAACTACTCAAGTGAAGATGTATGTCCTGTTTAACTGTGAACATTCTCATAATCCATACAGTCCTATTGCTAGCCCTAATAAACCTTTAATCTTTCCAATAGCCTATGCAATAAATTCTATACTTTAAAGCTTCATTTTTGAAGAAATGGAAAATTAAAAAAAATATTTTCCTTTTAATGTCTTTCATTTATTTTAACAGTCAAAAGAAATGTTCGCTCTGCCATTAATCTGCATTCTTAAAATATGGCTCATACTGTCCTTTGTTGAACTGGTTTAATCTATTCCATTTTACTTCATCAGGAATTTTTGCAGTTGGACTCAATGGTTGTTGTAGATTCCTTCCAACTGATTCTATTCTATTCTATTCTATTCTATTCTATTCTATTCTATTCTATTCTATTCTATTCTATTCTATTCTATTCTATTCTATTCATTCTATTCTATTCTATTCTATTCTATTCTATTCTGTAAACCTCTAAATCTATGACCAGCTTTTCTCCATTTCTGAAGTGTCATTGTTTGTCTGCAATCTAACTTCCCTGTCTCACTTTACTAAGACATAAAGAACATTTTTCTGATGGCAAAATTAATTGCTATTGTCTTGGTGTACTCTGTTTTGTAAAGTCAGAATAAAGGCTTTGAATATATTGTTTTAATCAGATTACACAAAATTCACAATTTTTTAAAAACAATTATTTTCTGGTTTAGAAATTAGTGATATAATTGTAAAAAAACACACCTTTATACAAAATACAGAATATGTTAAAATTATATATAATATAAAAATCCTTTATATATATACACATTATATATAATATGTTTTTTATATATATATATAAAAAAATCTCACAGTGTGAATTAATTCTGAATTACCCGAAGTCCAGGCATTCCTGGAAATCCAGGATCACCTTTTGCACCATACCCTTGGTTATATCCCTCTGCAGGGCACCCCTGAAAAGTTAGATAAAAAGAAAGATAAAAAGCTGTACTTTTTAAAAAAAAGTTTACAGAACTCTGTAGTGGGACAAACCTTTGAATAGTCTGTAGGGAAATAAGCAACATCAGAATTGCATGCTGATGGCAACTGCCCACTATGGATACTTCTAAAAAATTTGGTTTTAATAAAATACTATACCTTTTTCAGGCATTCCAGTTCTCCGTTAGGAGCAGTCTTCATTTCAGACATACCTACATAACTCACCCACAAACCTGACCTTCAATTTATTTTTGGTATTTTTTATCCCTTTAATATACTCTCTAGTGCATCTGCAGATTTCTATATTAATTCATAAGATGTCTTGGGGAGGGGCTTAGTTTTTTGTGTGCTTGAAAGGATTAAATTCATTACATGCAATAACAGTAGTTAAAGGGGAGAAAAACCCTTAAAATACTGTTTTGTAACTGGAGGTGAATGCAACTAGTACAGACAAAGCACCAAAGTTTGTGGTTGCTTCTCTGGAACATAGACCTTCTGCTTCCCATGAATGGAGACGTTAAGAACTCTTTTCCAGCAACAATCATACACACAAATTATTGATCACCAATAAATATTTCACATAATATGGTACAAATAACTGACCTTCTCTCCTTTGATGCCAGCAATACCCTAGGGAGAAGAACAAACCTATTAGAACAGAAAAATGAAAGACAGTGGTGAAAGGACACAGTCTAAATATTCTCTAAGCTTAATGCTCTCGAAGTGATTTATTTTCATGGACATAGTGTATATCCAGGTAAATGTTTACTGTGCCAGTCTTCAATTTAAGAAGAAAGGGCATATTGTTAAAAAATAATCCAGTCTCAACAGTTACAAGTCCACAAATGAAGGTAGAACAGCTCTGAAGCCTGACCTTAATAAATAAATAAATTACATCAGGAGAGCTGTTAAAGTAAAGATCAAGTTTAGAAGTTATTAGATTTGAAGCCACTAGAACTTGACAGACAGCATTCCTTTTCCATTTGTTTGAAGTTTCTTTTAAAAACACATTTCTACAGAGAAAAAACAAATCCTAGGGTTAAAGCAATACACCCAGAATGAGAAGTTCTGGGTTTAATTCCTGGTTCTTATTGACTTAATTAGGCCATATCCTCAAAGATATTTATGCATGAACTGAAACTGCAATGTATGAAATAGACATTGGACATCTTTAGAGATGGGAGTGGTAAATTTTCGTGAGTATCCCTTGAGACACTAAAGAGCTAACACCAGTCAATGCATTTGCATGCTCTCATCAACTAAGAAGTTGAGGTCCAACATGCAGCTGATAAAGCATTACTTTTACCTTTGGTTCTTTACCACATGGTTTTCATATTAATAAAATGGGGATACCTATGTATTTCAACTGTTGTCAATAGCAGCTAATGTAAGGCTTTACGCTCCTTCATTGAATGGCTTTATGTGGTAGAAATGCACACAAGCATGATTTTCACAGACACCTACTGGAATGCCTGGAGCCCCTCTTCTACCTGGAGGACCTGGAAAACCTCGATCGCCCTGAAAGTAGTAAGAGTGACTGTTAATGCATATAATTATTATTTGGTCTGATTTTAGCAAATGTGATTACCAAAGAAGTTTTTTATGTTATCATACTAAATTGTGACTTGCATTGCCATCATATTTGCTAGAAGGGGCTCAGCCTCACTGTATGGGTCTTGACTTCCACCCCAGACATCAGGCTTAATTAGTTATGCCAGATCAGTTCACTGGTTCACTACAAATGTATGATTTTCCATAGTAGGCATTCTACTGATTCCCTCTTTCAGAGTGCTGGAAACATTTGCTCATAGAGCAAAGAAAAACCAGTAAATCTGTAACAATGATAAGCTTTTTCTTTTAATTGGTTTCAGGACTTACAAATTGTCAACTGCAAGCTAGTTACCTATTCTATAACCCATTTCAACAAAAGGACAGGTTGGACAAAACTGATTAGGTCTTCTGGATTTAATGAAAAAAGTTTTATCTGTCAAAATATCAAACATTTTAGCAAAGGCCACTAACACGTATTATTTAATTATCTTACAGAAAAGGGCAGCACTTCCTCTGACCTCATGATTCATCTTTTTCCTAGTTGATAAAGTCACAAACCAAAACAAACCAAAGTTGTAATTGCAGGAAAAATTCAGAATGCTTTTTGGCCATTCCTAAGCATAGCCAAACACAATATCCGTAATATTCAGCTTGGTTTGTACCTTTGTGCCATTGCATCCTGGAACACCCGAGGGCCCAGGAGGACCAACAGTTCCTGGTTCACCCTAAAAAGAAGTGCAAAATTGACACAAGCTTTGTTTTTGCGCACTCATATTACCCTACAGCAACACTGAAAGAGTTTATGTTGGAGCAGTGTTTCACAGACTTGACAGATTACAATGTGTTCTTAAATCATTACAGTGAGTAAGAATTGCTGATGCTGAGTCTCTAGACTAACTGACAGAGACAATGCTGATGTTGAGACTAGAGTGAGCACACTGGGCTCAGGACAATTGTGTACTGAAGATTGTAGTAATAGAGAAATGGTTAAATCAGTTTAATTTTTACTTACTGGAAGGCCTGGGGGACCTGAAAATCCAGGTATTCCTGGGACTCCCTAATGATATAAAAAACCAGAGGAATAGTATTACTAATATTAAGGAAAGGCTTATGATGCAGTTTTTCTTCTGATTGCATTTTTAAGAAGAATGAATGCAAGTATGATTCTATAAAAAGATTATTATTTTCTTAACACTTCTGACTGTGAACCAAGTATAATGGTAGCTTATGCACTGTTAACAGCCTGGTTTTGCCCATAGAAAAAAAAACCCAGACAACCCTTCATGGAATTCTAGTCTGACTTTTTCATAACACATCCCAATACTAAATACATACAGCATGAACCTTGTACATATAGTGTAGCAAAAAAGGCAAAATTTTAAAAAGTAGATAATGCATGTGTATACTCCGTGTCATAAATTTTAAAAATCATATATAATGTTTCATTTTTATTTTTCACAAATAATTGAACCAAGCTGGCATTTAACATGACATTTAATACATACAAGTCTGTTTATATAAATACTTACTCGTATACCTTTGGGTCCAACGAAGCCCATAAAACCTGGAGAACCCTAGATCACAAATGGAAAACAATGTATTTCAATATAACTGACAGAAAGCAAGTATCTGTCAACACCATTTCCTAACATGTGCACAAGAAACTAAATAAATAAATAAATAAATAAATGATTTTCCTATTACAGACACTATAGCAAACAAGCATTTAATACAACTTGTGTAAATCATGGCTTACTGCCCTCCCTTTCAGTGTTTACAGGGGATATATCTCATCATAGGTCAATAAAATAAAATAACAGTGAGGGTATGTTGATAAAGCAGTTGCTATGGATGTGTTCAAACTGTGAGACCTGGAAGTGCTTTCCTGTGAAATAGCTGGAAGGCTCCTGGATGATGTCCATGTAATGATCAGGTATGTACATGTACCAGCCACTCTCACTTGCACTGCTGTGCACAGAAAGGAAAGCCAGGAGCAGGCTGAAAGGGGGCTAAGCAGGATGGGAGAGCAAGGCTGAAAGAAGACAGCAAACGATGTCACAGCACAGTATGGACAGAACCTGTTGGAATTGTTTCAAGGTGCTTAGAGCTTTACTGATAATAAGAAACTTATTGTTCCCAGAAAGGAAATGGGGATTGTACAGAACTGCATAGCTCCTAAAATCCCGAGTGACATTTCATTTAAGATAATGTACAGGCATTGAACAGAAAAGCTAACTGGAATACGCTACAGTAGATGGCATTGAGGCTGAAGATGTTCTTGCTAGATAAATTATCCTTACTTTTTGCCATTCTTGCAGAAGTTATTATCATATTAAAAGGGAAATGCTCTACCAAACATTTTTCAGTGAGTTCAAATAAATGGCTCATCAACATGTACGAGATCCACCATGAGTATTAGTTCCACAAAGTATTGTAAAAATAAGATAGGACGGAACAATGCAACCATACCCAAGCAAATAAAAACTGTAAAAAAAATCTGTCTAAAGGTATGGGTAAGCGCTAGAGCCACATTAGTGCAGGTCCTAGACATAACGCGATTGTGGCAGTACCTTCCTGTGGCTGAGTTTACACCATATATACATACAAATAATTTATTCACCAGAGACAATTTATTGATGACTGCAGCAGTGCTGTTCCTCAAGACAAGTATAAATAAAATGTTATTTTAATGAGCAATTTATTTGGTTTTGATGCTCATGCAGGAGTCATTGAAAATTCATATTCAGCCTCAGTTTAGGCATACAGGAAAGGAAGAAAGCCCAAGTCACCAAAGAGAAGTCACTCTCTCCATCCTGCAGGCAAGTAGGTATGTCCTAAAGAGACCAAGATTTATCTTAAAAATCCTGGTTCCCTTCAAATTTTCTTAAATCTATTTTTCATATTTGTCTCAGTAGTAGCTAGCTTTGCCTCTTTCCAGCAGTAGATGTCAGAGTATACTGTTAAGACAAAACTGAGGTTATGCTGCTAAAATCTATTTAGACCCATGTTCATTGCCTCTGGCAGTTCAGTTCAGGTACTTTAGCACTGGCCAATGGACAACTGACAACAAAAGCCCACATTCCTATCAGCTACTTTGACTCAGCCAAAAATGACCACTGCAGCTGGTGACCACATAACATCCCTTCCTGAACAGGAGACTCTGCAACAGGTTTTGGTTTGGTTTAGTTTTTCAAAACAGAATTCTCTACCCAGTCATAGCTCACTTTCACAGTCAAGCACCGAAGTTTCTCTGTGTATCTCTCTCTGTGTCTCACACACACACACACCTACCTTTGGTCCCTGTGGCCCTGGAGGCCCTTCTGGACCAGGAAATCCTCTATGACCAGGTGGACCTGGAACACCAGGAAAGCCTTTTTCACCCTGTAAACATTAAGAGAATGAAATTCTTAAAATATCCATGAATCCTCCTTTCGATAATTTATTTCTAAGGCATTCACTACTTTCAGTACCTCTTAACTTCTACATATCTGTCTGCTACTGTGTCAGATACATTTCCCATGCCTATACTGACCTGTTTTTGTGGTCCTGCCCATATGCTGTCTAGGCCATATGGTAACACTGAAGTAACATGCTCATAAGTGTGGTTGAAGATATCAGAAGACAACTGTACTCATTTGCAGAAAGCAGCTGATACATATTCCTTCCTAATATTTCTACATCATGTTTAGTCCCTACACACAACACAAATCCAAATCCATCATAACAGCGCTTTGTAAAGGGGTAAACTTAATGACTGCTGCTGTACAGCAAGGTCATCTCCAAATCATCAATACCTCTCTTCATGCAAGCCATGGAAAGAAACAGTGAGAGCCAAATGCAACAAAACCATTCAGATAGAATAAAAGAAACTTAAGTGACAACTACATAATATTGTTCCAAGTCTCAGAAATTAAGACACCCAATTACTTTTTAATGTTTTTTAAGGTCAAGTTCAAATAACTAAACCATGTAAAGGAAACACAGAATATTAAAGCTAGACAAATAGAATACAGGAGGCTAAATTATAGTGAAGGGGGATTTTCAGATTTTAGTTAAATGTAATGAAGATGCAAGTCTTTTCCTGGATGGAAAACTGACTGTGAGCCAGAAATGTGTACTTGCAGCCCAGAAAGCCAACCATGTCCTGGGCTGCATCAAGAGCAGTGTGGCCAGCAGGTTGAGGGAGGGGATTCTCTCCTGTACTCTGCTCTCGTGAGAACCCCCCTGCAGTGCTGTGTCCAGCTCTGGGGCCCCCAAGATCAGGAGGACACAGACCTGCTCGAGCAGGTCCAGAGGAGGCCACAAAGATGATCAGGGGCTGGAGCAGCTCCCTTATGAGGCTAGGCTAAGAGTTGGGTGTGTTAACCTGGAGAAGGCTCCAGGGAGACCTTCTAGTGGCCTCCCAGTACTTAAACGGGGCTACAGGAAAGATGGGGAGGGACTCTTCATCAGGGAGTGTAGGGATAGGATGAGAGGTAACGGTTTTAAACTGAAAGAGGAAGATTTAGATTAAATATAATGAAGAAATTCTTTCCTGTGCCGGTGGTGAGGCCCTGGCACAGGTTGCCCAGAGCAGCTGTGGCTGCCCCCTCCCTGGCAGTGTTCATGGGCCGCGTTGGACGGGGCTGTGAGCAACCTGGGCTAGGGGAAGGTGACCCTGCCCATGGCAGGGGCTGGAACTAGAGGATCTTTAAGGTCCCCTCCAACCCAAAACATTCTATGATACTATGACTTTTGTTAAAATAAAAGTGCTTCAAACCTAGAAACTCACAGAAAAGGTATCTTTAGATAGCAGCAATTTAGCATGCTCAATTTTACATCAGTGAAGAGCTGTGTATTCAAGATTTTACATCACAGCATGACAGGGGAGAGCACGCGGGATTATCAATTCTCAGAGTCAATTTTCCTACTGCTTTATCAGGGGAGAGTTATACAAAAAAGCATTTGAAATTTGTGTGTGCAGAATTTCCAGTATCTTATTATTCAATGTACAACATAGGATCCAAAGAAGTGTTGAGGAAGACAAAACACCTTGGCTTGTCCCCCCACCAATTCTTGCCCCTCTAAATCCCACAAACTGACCAGATTTTAAATAGCATCTCAATTTTTTAAAAAAGAATATATATAAAGATAGAATCTAATCCCATAAGATAGAATCTAATCCCATAATATTTTAACACAAATAAGAATTGCATTAAGTGTCTGTGAGATCTCAAGCATAAACCAGCATAGCTTTTTATAACAAATTTATTTCATTCACCAGCATCCTAAGAAAGGCAAAAAAGGATAAACCAAGCTGTGCCACTGGAGGGAGTGTGGTACTAACTCACAGAAAATTGAAAGAATTCCTTGATCTTCCTTCACTGAGCTTGCTACCCCCTCTCTCTGGAGCAAGCCATAGGGTGCTCTCCAGATGCAGAGCAGCACTTCACTCTCCTGGCAGCTTCACTCCCCTCCATACAGTACAGGCTATTTTATCCTCACTTTCCTCTTGACAAATCAACAAGATCAGAGGATTCTCAGGTTGGAGAATTTCTTAACACTGAACAGTTACCAACATATACTGATTAATGTAATTGTCCTGACTTTCCAAAGCTGCCTGAAAAACTTCATCAGTGCAAACTGATTAACTCTTACCTACTAATTGCTCAGTTGCTTTAACATGGAATTGATGAAGATAAGTTGCAGGTGTTGATTTTTTAATATTTCTCTTTTAGTGGGCAGCTTATTTTTTTCTGATTTTTCAAATGGTCTCAATTTTAACGGTTAGGACAAAGTCAGGTTAGACCAACCAAGAACATGAAAAATAAGCACCAAGACTTTACTAAAGACATGAATCCTTTCCCACTTACAAAAATATGTTTTCATAACAAATGTATTTACTTTGAGAGAACTTCTCTCTAACACTGAAATGAAGCTTCCTAAAAGCAAGACTATCAGTGTTTACTGTGGTGCAATAAGACATTTTTTCTTGGTAGTAAAAGTACAGGAGGAAAGTTGTGAGAAATTCTTTAGCAGCCAGATATGTAATCAGTGGGATTAACCACATCTAGTATCTATTGATAAGGTTTAGTATGGCAATCACTATGTCCTCAGTTAGCCTGAATTACATAATAATGCCCCTTTCATTTGTGAATCAGTTGTTTTCCATCTACAAGCAGGAGTTTGAAAGAATTTTTGGCATTTGTGTAATTCAGGTTTGTCTAAAAGCCACTCCGAGCCTCTGCCAAGCTACTATTTGCAACAGGCAGAACTGTGGCTCTGTTCCTTTTGATGGATTTGATGCTGTTCCCTCCCTGCTGACAAGGTATTTGTGGTTAGGACTCAGAAACTTACCCCTGTTTTGGTCTGCAGGAAATTTATCTGTTTGTGCCAGTGCATGTAGCTTTTGAAACTTTAGGAACCAGAAAAGGGGAGATGGGCAATGTCAAAAGAGGGGAACAGGGAAGCACTGAACATGACACTCTCGATGGCATTATGAAATTTGTAACAGGAGAGCTGCTGCCAGGGTAACTGTATCTGTGGGCATTTGTTAGGAGTTTGTGAAAGGGACCTAGTGGTTCAGACAGCTGTTCTTCTGTTGGTGTTCAAACATCATGCAATGCTGTAAACAAACTAATACATTAAAAAAAATAATAATTGTAAGTCTTCTTAGTGTCCCCAGAGTTATTTTCACAGGATTTTGTAAGGTAATATATTCCTTTTACAATCCTTTGTAGACACTGTTGACAACATTACACACAATAAAATCACTCATTGTATCAACTCAACTAATGTATTAATTGTTTCCAGGTATATGCTAATCTTAGAAAAGGAAAAATTTATTTGTCCTTACCTTACTGCCCTTCATGCTATCGCAAAAGCAGGGACTTTTACCTTTGCATACACAGCTCTGAAAAACAAAAAGACAAACTTTATAATAAAATCATTTTTCTCATTGTGTTGTTTGGTGAGGGGCAAATGAGATCTTGGCGGTTTTAGTAAGGTAATTATTTCACAGATAATACAACTTAAAAAAAAAAAATGTTCCTGAAGAGTGGCAATTCTCAACAGTGGAAAAGAACTCATTATTACTCTGTACTGTCTTTTGAGACAGATTAAGGGCACTAGTTTAATTTTATAATTAGGGTAAAGGCCAAGAAGGCGTGCTTAACACCACCAGGGTTATAATATCAGTACAAAGTATAAAATTCAAGAGTTTGGTCTCACAGCCCTGAACATTAATGATTCTTTAAAAACTTACTATAGAAACAAACACATATACCAATACTAGTTTAGATTAAAATTATATTGGTTTTATTTTAATCTATTAACCGATAATTTTCTGTCTTTTTCTAGCTGTGCTCACCTCCTGACCCTGGCTCCTGGTACCTAATACAATTACAAAGGACCCTCAACTTCGTTGTTTCTTAATTCTGGAGGTTTCCTGAGCCTGGAGTTCAAGTGAGCCTGGAGTTCAAAGCCCTCCGTGGAGAGCTGAGTATTGCACTGCAGAATCCAAACCTCTCTTTGTCTGTGACCTCTACTGCTGGAGTATGGCATGGCTATATGGGAGCAACCATAACCTGGGAAAATTCAATGATTAATCAAGTATGAAGAGATATTCAGGTTTTTACTGTTCACACTTAAGTGAAAAGAAACCCAACAAACAAAAAACCCAAACAAGGATTTTCAGTATGTAACTGGATAGACAGTGTGACTCAATTTGCTAGCTCATGGGTGGTAGCAGGGAGCTCAGCAGAGCTGCACAGCACATCTGAGATCCCCGGTGAACATGAGAACACTTAACCCATTCTGTGCCCCATTCCTGCTACAGCTATCATGTACTCAGTACCTGAGCTAGCCCAGTCTGGCTGGGATAACTCTGCAATGGACTTTTCTACACTCATGTAGACGTACCCTATGTCAGTGGAGTGGAGGAGGAAAAAAAATAATCCTTTGTGAACATAAATATTATACATACTAAAAATAGTATTGAGGTTATTGAAGCCATGTATTTCATAGACATGTGGAGTAAACGGCATTTATTGCCCTTCTTTATACACTAAAATTCTTTCATTTGTTTTTGAAGCCATTGCTGAATGACTTTTTCAATTGTAGCCCTGCAGAAAGAGTGTTATTTTTCAGTTTATTCTCCCACTTTACGTATAGATGTCTATCACAGTGACCATATACTATTACAGTTACAGACAGTATGAAAGGGATAACTATCAAATACTGGTTATGAAGATATTTTTCTAAGTTGCATGAAATTCAGAAAAGAAGGAAGAACTGTATTTTTTCTTACAAGATTAAAGTCTTGAAGATGATATGATATGAAATTTCTATTTAGAACTCAAAGACAGAATTAATTAACCCATACAGCTGGTCATAATACAAGAGCAGCACTTTTCCAGTGGTGTTCTCAAAAAACAGAAAACAAAAGACAGAGGAAGAAAAAAAGTTCTCCATTGCATTTTAAAATTATAAAGTCAGATTGTCATTAAATTTAAATTTTCCTGTATCAATCTGTTTCAGGTAAAACATTTTACAGAATTGAAAAGCATCTCTTCTTCCCACAGGCTAGGATCAATTTCTTCTATACCATCAAAAACATGGTACGTGGTATCAGCTAGCTGGTTTCATTTCTTAAACAGTTCCTGGTATTTGTCACTTTCCTTTGACTGCACAAGGAAACTAGTTTGGAACAACTCATCCAGTCTCTTTAGGTGCCTCTTTTAGGACTGAGGAAAGATGCTGCAAGTACTTGCTGTTCCCTATAGACTAGACAATTACTCACAGTAGCTGCCTGTCTTTTAGGTGGCTGAAGTTAGGTGAGATAATACCATGTATTAATTTAGAAAGATGCAGGGAGTATTTCTCAAGTGAACAGCTATTTAAACATTAAACAGAAATTAGAATCAGTTGGCCATGAAAAGCAAATCCCCCAAGAAATTATTGTGCCTGCCTGTGTTCTATAGACAGATTACTATGTGATGACTTGATGTTTCAAGCTAGATTTTTCAAGAGTTGCAAACGTTAAATACTTAATTCTTTGACATATTTAAAGACGACTCTTTCTTCCCCTGATCTGACAGCTAGAATTCAAGTCGTACTGCATGAGAAATTTGGAAAACAAAGGTGTCATGTAAAACAGCAACTGTGTGACTGCTACCTTTACTATTATTTTAATCAATATGATTGTATCATCAGAGACACAAGAATAAATACTAGTGCATCATTAATAACAAACAGTATCCTGACTTCTTCTTGGTGAGGACTATCAGTTTAGCACTGGATAATCTAAACTCACCATGCTATATGACAGATATTTTAAGCCTTTAAGCATAAATACCGGAGGATAAAGTGACATATATTTCAAAATGAATTTGGAATAGTCTATAAGCCAATCAATTTTCTTGTTCCCTATTCAGTAACAGTACCTTCCATCCCAAAGTATTCTCTTCAAAATGGGTGACACAGGTTATTGGTACATGTCTACCAAGCAGTATAAACCCGTAAGTGTTCAGTGTTCAGCATCCCAAGGAAAGATGTAAACACAGTACACAATAAATGTAGTCTTAAATTGCATGCACTGCATTTTACTGCTGTGCAGGGCTGACGAGTGACTCAAGCTACCACGTTCTGAAGGCTTGCATATGAAAATTGTAAATTACCTACAAGACCTATGAGACCCATTTCCTCAGCAATCTTAACTGCTGAAGCACAAGATTAAGTTTACAAATTTAGCAGACATATGTCTGAGTCCAGGAAAGGTACCATTTACTGAGAAAAAAAATGTTTACAGTATTCCAAATCCTCTGAATTTCTCCAGGGTAACTGGGACATATCCTGGCTGACCATAGAGAGCTTTCCTGAGGAACAGCCACAGCTGGCTTCTAATCTTCCTAGTACCAGTTATTTACCATCAGAGTTCTATAGACCTTCATAGAGTTGCATCTTATTTCTACCTGTGGAAGTATGGCTAGAAGCAGATTCTTTACAGTATTTGTATGCAAAGCAGTTTTCAGGATGCGTAGATAAATCACCAAATGAAGTGTCTCTTCAGTAACAGGTATAATCTGCAGAAGACTTCCTATGTACAGATACAGAAGAAACTTTTTATTTCAACTTACAATCAAAGATAATCCAATGTGAAGTTAAAAACACGAACATGTAGAAACTTATGATGCTACACAACTAATCAAGGTATTAAACTATTTAAAGAAAAAGAACCTTTGCTCTTCAAGAAGTCAGAATGCTTAGAATATGTTTAATTTGCCATTAGTAAGCTTTCAGATCAATTTAGGTCTTTTTGTGTATGCATATCACTTTAAACTAAACTGAAAAGACCAAGGATGATTTTGCATTACACACTCAGTTAGCTGGATAATACTAAACGTTTTGGCATATGATTTTTACATAAGATTAGATTATGCCTTCTGTAAAAGAGCTCTGAACCAAAAAATCATTGCTCGCTTATACTGGATGTTTCCACATCCTTGCAAGATGCCTGCAGCTCCTTCATCAAAGGATCATAACAAAACAAGAGTATATTGCCAGGCTATAAGGAAATTGAGTAACAGTTATTAATGTTTTATTCAAAATCCTCACAATAACATATACATAAGTAAATGTACTAACAATGCCACAGGTTTAATGCATGTTTTTCAGTTTTGTGTTTTTTATAATAATCATCTACATTTATTTCAAATATTTAGATATGGTAGATGGCACTAGATTTTTGATCTAAAAATCTAGGTCAAAGGGTAAAGCCAGATCATGATATGAATAACAAATCAAATTAATCCACCAATGAACCAAAGTGAAAAAAACCCAACACTTTCTTGGAGTATTTTATAGAGGAGCTCCTTTCAAAAGCGTTTTGAGTGACAGTAGTAGCATTATATGTTCTTTAAATAATTACAGTTGTGCATGCTGACGCACATTTACTGCAGTGGTTAATGCTGAGTGCAACCTTATCCATAACACTGAATTGCCCTTCCTACACTATGGGATTGGATTCTATGGGGCTGTGACCTCTTTCTGCCCCCAATACAGAGACTAAAGCATCTGCTTAAAAAGTGTTCCAGTCCTCTCCTTCCCTGAATCCCTCAAAGAAATGACAAAGAAAGAAGGAAGAAATAACATACTATTATACACACTACATTGTCACCTATACAACACTAATATAGACTCAGCATGGTACTGCTACTCCTACCATTGCAGTCATGGTAACTTATTTTGGAGTATTAAAGAGAATCTTATGCAGCTCACAGCACTTTGCAAGTAGAGCTAGTTATATGAAAGGTGTCAGAGAATGTATTTAGGGATGTTACCAAACCTGAATATGTCAAAGGACGTCACAAAGCGTTAATGTAAGGAAAAAAGCAAACAGGGATAGGAGTTTCTATCAATAGCACAGACTTTGAGTCCTGACACATTTGTGGGGCAATACAGTCATACTGGGTACGGTTTAAAGGCAGGAAGATGGGGAACAGTCAAAATGAGACAGTGAGGATGATGAACCAGTATTTCTCCATTTATCTCCTTTTGGAATGACATATAGGATGACAACACAGAGCACTTGTTTGCTTTTCCAGATCCAAACAAGATCAGAGTAGGTCAGCTATGAGTTCAAAATACATATTTATATTAAAAACACTTCACCCAGGACAGAGAGGCAGCAAAGTGTTTTGTTGCAGCCAACAGGCACCATATTCTTTAAGTATATTTCAGATGAAGGCTACACCAACACCACACAGGATGAGTAATAAAGACATTCAGATGAAAGCTGAGATGAAATTAAATGTATTCTGTAGGAATATAGTAATCTGGCTGCAGTGGGGTTTAAGTTTACACTTTTGGCCTGATTGGTCTTTAATTTCATAGATGAAGTCCACTGATTCCTGGTTCACATAAATGAAA